ATTTAGATTCACCAAAAGAGGTAAAATATCTTAAAATCTGAGAGATTGTGCTTTAACTTTCATGAATTCTTCCTTCACTGCCTAAAGGTATTTTGTAAGTTTTTTAGTGAGTATTTAGTATTAGACCCTGGGTCTTTTGAACATGTACAGTAATCTGAAAATTCTATTTTAAATAATGCAGGTAATAGGTTTAGGGTATTCGACCAGCTTAGTCAATAAATTTAGATCGACTACTAACACTAGTTTAATAGATGAAATGTTAAGATACAGAGATTTAATTGGTCAACTTATTGACTCGTGGATAGAAATTCACTTTTCGCTCACGGTTGGAAATGAATATCTACGTAAATCAGGCATAGATTCAAAGTTTCACACACGAGATGAATAGGTTGTGATTAGGAAAGAATGAAGGGCAAAAAGTGTTGATTATCAATACAATTGGGTAATTATTTTTGAAATCGGACCAATTTTATATATGATGTAATACCATTTTTTGGTCTGGATTCAAAAATAATTACCCAATTTGCACTGGTCATGCTAGTTATGTAGTCAGGTTTGATCGTTAATATTTAGAGACTAGATGATTGAACTGAGGTCAGTAATGAGTTAACATTATTTTCGATCAGTTGACTTATAATCAACTCGCTCAAATCATCTGTTATGAAGTCTTTTTTTTTTTGCCAGCGCTCCGAATTGGCAAGACTTTTATTTTACTGGTTTGGGAGGTTTAAAACTTCCAAAAATGGTAAAGTAAGGGCCCGAAGATTCGGACCCTCTACTAAGTTGTACACAAAAAAAAATCGAAATTTACTCGACTGCAAGTCCACGCCTAGATTCAAATTGAATTTAGACACAGAATTCACCGTCCTTTCTTCCCTTTCTTTTTTGAAGAAGTTTGGATCTTTCCTGTTGTAGCTGTAGCAGGTGGTTCAGCAGCGCTGGCTACCGCTGATGTTGGATTAGTTTGTTCTAGTGTATGCGATTGTTGTGAGAGTGAAGCTGGTGTCGATGATGTTTGTGCTATTCAAATTATTATTTTTTAGTAAGCAATCACGTAAATATTCTGAATAAATAGATGATTCACGAACTTTTTTACCTTCACCTTCGCTTGGCTCACTTCGATTCTGCATTTTCAACATCATTGATCGGTTCAAACGTTCAAATTTTTTCAAATCCGCTGCTTGATCTGTTTTATATTTGAATGCTTTGAAATTATCAGTGACCTTTAGAACCAATTTTCCTTGCGAGTGTTTCCAGCTTGTTACATATCGGGTCTTTCGTTCCAAGATAAATTCACATTATTTTTTCATAAAAAATTTTTGTGAAATATAAAAGTCATTGAAGGAAGAATTCATGAAAGTTAAAGCACAATCTCTCAGATTTTAAGATATTTTACCTCTTTTGGTGAATCTAAATAAAGTTGTTCTACCGCTTGTTGATATTCGTTCCAATCATTAATGTATACCATTTGAGTATGAGTATTATAAAAGCAAATTCACCAATTATATATATTTATATATATATATATCATGCGTGCAAGTGGTACTATGCGGTGCTACAGTATCCAAAATTATTTTTATCAAAAATCGGCAACATTATCGAATCTTTCGTTTTGCTGTTAAAAAAAAAAAAAAAAAATGGCACCTGCTACTATTGGTACAGAGATGAGCGATGGAAAACTGGTAAAAAAACCAATCAGCTTTATTAATCTTGCTGTTGGAGCCGGTAAAGTATGCTTTACTTTTACATATTATAAAACAAAAGCATATACATATAATATATATTTATTAGAGTTTAAAAGTTTATACATCATACTGTTTCTTTTAGCATTAAACATGTTTGAAATATCAACACTTGGACAGCCTTTTGAAGTAATCAAAACTCATCTTGCTGCTAATCGGAAGGATAATATTATAACGGCATTGAAAAAAACATATCAAAGAGGTGGTATTCTAGGTTTTTATCAAGGATTAATACCGTGGGCATGGATCGAATCTAGTACTAAGGTAAAAGATATTTGTATTGTCTGAATTCATCAAATGTTTCAAATGTTGATCTTTCTTGAAATAGGGTGCAGCTCTTATCTTTACCGCAAGTGAGATTGAATATCACACAAGGGTCATTGGTGCCTCACCTTTTATGGTTTGTATATGTTAAAAAATTATTTACATTATTAAAGGAAAAAATTATTCATTATTTTTTATTCTTGTTTTTTAGGCTGGTATTCTTGGTGGAATGGCTGGAGGTTTAGCACAAGCCTATACTACCATGGGTTTTTGTACTTTTATGAAAACTGTTGAAGTTACGCGTCACAAAGCTCCTGCCGATGAACAGGTTTCGAGTCTTAAGATCGCTGCTGACATATGGAAAAAGGAAGGGATCCGAGGAATCAATAAAGGCGTCAACGCTGTCGCCTTGCGACAATGTACTAATTGGGCCAGTAGATTTGGTTTGACACGACTCGGTGAGACGACCATTAGAAGAATTCGAGACGGTGAAATACCTGACTATAGTCGACCGTTATCTCCGATTCAAAAAATTTTAGCTAGTGCTATTGGTGGTGGTTTGTCTTGCTGGAATCAGGTATGAAACTACTATTTTTTTATTTACGCGTTAATTTTTAATAATTATATTTTATAATTACCAATTGAAAGCCAATTGAAGTTATTCGTGTTGAAATGCAATCTCAAGTGAAAACACCCGGCCGCCCTGAGAAAATGACAATCGCCTCAGCCGCAAAATTTATATATAAAAATAATGGATTTAAAGGGTTTTTTCGTGGCGTAACGCCTAGAATTTGTCTTGGTATCTGGCAAACTATTTGCATGGTGTTTGGCGGTGATACTGTCAAGGTAAATGATTAGCAAGCTTTTAGAAATATTTTTTTTAAAAAGAAATCTGACTAATCAACTAAAACATATTCTAGGAAAAGATCGCAGCAATGCAAAAGGCAAAAATCTAGATATATTTTTATTTATTGTCTGAAGCAAAGCTAAAGACATTCTATTATAGAGGTAAGTAGTAAAAATTGTGTTTATTTCCATCAAACTGATTATCCGATGCATTTCAGCCGATCAGCAATGATCTCCGGATAAAATAATTATAAAACATCTGTCTAAATGGTACAACATTTATTAGTTTTTTTAATAGAAGTTTCCAATAATAATAATAATAAATTTGATTTGATTTTCCTACGTGTAAAAAAAACATTAATTGAATTCATGTCATGAAGAATAAATAATTATTCTACATGGTGG